ATTTTTTATAGTATATGTTTACCTAATACTAAAAAAAAACGCATTTTTACCTAATAAATAATCATGTCTATTTGATTTAACATGTTTGTATTTAAAAGCATCCGTGTTTAAAACTTTGAAAATTAAGCTATGATTTAAACATCTATAACTTTAAATTCAATAACAAAATATTTATTGCGTGTCACATTAGCATTACAAATAAATTAATTTATTAACAGTACTCTTTTGCTTTTTCAATATTTTAATTATATTTAAGAATATTTTTCAGTATAGCATTGTGACTGCAAAATTGATTAAATATAATAATTATTTATTAATTACGATATCTTCAATATTTTAAACTCCGTAGATAATCTCAGAGTACCATTTTAAGCATTAAGTTTGACGTGTCTGTGTGCGTGCGTGCGTGCGTGCGTGCGTGCGTGCGTGCGTGCGTGCGTGCTTGCGTGCGTGTGTGTGTGTGTGTGTCTCTGCTGTGGCATCATAGTTCTCGAACGGATGAACCGATTTGGATTTAGTTTTTTTTGTTTGAAAGGTGTCTTAGTCGGGAGTGTTCTTCACTATGTATGATGAAAATCGATTCAAGATGGCCGCCGCCACAAAATGTCGGATTACATATTTTTTATTAAGAATATTGTTCGTTATAGCATTGTTAATGCAAAATTGATTAAATATAATATCTAGTAATCAAACATATCAACAGATTGATATTTTTAATGCTACATATTATAATTGATACTTTTTATTTCTATAATCTTGTAAAGACTTTATAACAAAAGTATGAAATAATTTTTGTAAATATGTTTTTATATGAAAAATACACGACAATAAGGAATATCATTATTTTTTAATATAAACTTATATAAACATATTATAAAGTGTTAAGTTTCTAACCTTGATTTTTTTGTTTGTTGTTAGAGGGTAATCTTCGAAAATAATGATCCGACAATAATTAATTAATGATTTAGAGGAAGTTACATCATATGCGAATTTTTAAGCTATGATTTACGCGGGCTAAGTCGCGGGTAAACAAATCTTAGCATGCCCGGTCTTTATTAGGGTTTAAATATAGACACGGATGCCAATAAGCAATATTAAGGGATATATATTTAGATAAAATAAAAAAAAAATAGGTAGTAAATATTTAAGATTAAACACGTAATTTGTTAACATATTCTGGAGCCCCTGTGGCCTAATGGATAAGGCATCGGCCTCCTAAGCCGGGGATTGTGGGTTCGAGTCCCACCAGGGGTACAAAAGTAAACAAGTTTGCTTTATGAGTGATTTTTTACTATTTTCCTAGTGTAATCTAGCAAGTTTTTTTTTATTAGTACTATATTTATATTATTACAAAATATGATGATTCTATTATGGATCCATAGAAAAATCAAGTATTATTAAATAAAAAATAAGTGTTGATAATCTATATTTCATTACGTTATTGCACTTTAGTGTTTTTTAATATAACACAAAAGCGGAACGCATTTGTCTACCAAATACAAATGTGTACAAACTTTTTTATTAATATAACTTGGTAGGTACCTAATATAAATGAAATAATTTATTATTCACTATTTAGACATAAGAATGTAATTTTATGAAAATAAGTTGATAGAAATAATATCCCATGGTTCTATTTTTCATAAGATTTGGATCTGAATTGCTACTAGACGCTAGATGGCATTAGTAGTCTTAGTAGAAGTATAATGGCGCCCACCAGTGAAAATGTACTTCTTGTTCACGCGACATAAAACTTTAGTAGTAGTTGGTACACGAGAGAATCTCTTTGAGTAGACTGAGAGATCTGGAAATATAATTTCTACGAGAAAAAAGCTTTTAAACACGAAACAAAAATATTTTATTTAAAAACGCTTTTATAAAGATAAACTTTGTAAGGTTTCTAACTTTGATTGTTTAATATTTGTAGGTGTAATCCTTGGAAATACTGATCCAATAATGAAAATTCTTTCACCTACAGGAAGCTATAGCACATGAGGGTGATATGGGCTATAATTAGGGTTGCCAGATAGCGAGACTAAAATATCTGGACAAAATTTGAAAAAGTCGGGATTTTGGGATCACAGTCGGGACAAAAAAAATACTAATAAAAATTCGTCTTTAAGTAATTTTTTTTTGTTAATAATAACAAGTATCTATTTTTTCGTCAATTTATAAGATCACATAATAATAGTAAAACATTTAAACAGCTATATTTGTTATGATATGTGTGTTATTTCATTTTTTTATACTTGGAATTCGATTTTTCAGAATCTAACAATTTTCGTCGGGACATATTTGTTTTTTTCGGGACCCTGGACATCATACGAAATGTCGGGACAATCCAGACGAATCCCGACCATCTGGCAATCCTAGCTATAATATACGTGGGAAACAGCTAGTATATTATAATATATGCTTTTTATAAGTATATGTCATGTGTATATATTTAAATAGGTATTTGCTTCGATTTTAATGTCATAACATTGAATATATCCCAATTTGTCGTAGGTGTTTTTGTCATACGACTTCTAATCAAAAATACAAGGTATATATATATATTTAAAACAAAACATTTTGAAAACAGTGTGCTATCACATTTCCACAAAATAAGTTTTTTTTTTGTTATTGATAAATCCCGAATGATTTTAACACGAGAGATATAAAACATAAATTTAAGTTATTTAATAGCCGAGACATTATTCAGTATTAATAGACTGTTTTTTGTTAAGTAGTACTTAAGCTATTATCTGTATACCAATTTAGAGAAGGTTTGATTGTTTATTTGCAATGAATAGGCTCCAAAACTACTAGGCGTATTTCAACAATTCTTTCGCCAACGGGCGGCTACATTATATGCAGGTGATATAGACATAAAACTATAATTTACGCGGTAGAAAACAATTGGATATATATAATACTTGAGCACGAACTCCATGGTAAAGTGATTATCGTATTCAGTCTGCGATTTGTTTGCGAGATTTTTGTGTAGTTCGGTTTTTCAAAGAGCGATACAAAAATGCATTGTTTCGAACTTTTCCGATTTTCGTACGGCAGACTGTCTGTTTAGACTGCAACTGCAATCGTTAACAATCCACTAATAAAACATGGCCCGCGTGTTGGGTTATGACCCGTTTACTTTTTTAGATCCTATCGACGAAATGGCTGTTTTTGAAGACCGTTGCATTGAAATGCGTACATTAATTAACCTATAATAATGTACGGACGGTTAAAAACAAAATGCGTCTTTAAATAACTGCAAATTCAAAACTAAAACTATTTAAAGATTTTCTATAATATTTCAAATTCCATCATAAATAAAATTTTATATATCTATTAATATATGAAGTGAATAGTATAAATTATGCGCTTAGGGCTAGAGGGAGATTCTTATATAAGCTATTTACAATATAAGATCCGTATTTATCACGTGGAAGTATCAATAAAAAGCAATGAAAATTGTAAAATGCTTCAATATTGAAATGTCGACCTAGTTTGTGTGAGGGTGAGGAGTGAGGTGGACGTACTGAGGATAGGGCGTGGTGTCCGCGGGGTGGCAGCTACAATTAATAATAGCTCCTAATCTATTTTATTGCCCAAACTAACCTTAGACGCTTAGAGTTGACATTAATAGTCTTGTGTTTTCAATTAGAAGACATATTTTGCAAATTGATAATTAAGGTTCGTATAGCATTAAAATTTGACGTTATATTTTTATTAGCAATTCTATTGTACCGTTGTTTTGACTAAATAAGAATCAGGGTAGGTTTCATTGAATTTAATACATAGTCTGTAGTAAAAAAGTACATCGCCTACCAGAACTATCCAAAAGGTAAAATTTATTCAAACCGGTTATAATGTTATAATGTTTTATGAAATGTTTAAAAGGGAGTATTTACTCAATTGTTTTTCTCGATTTCGAACTTTATTACTATTCTGTTCAACGAGGTAATTCAGTTAGACATTTTGTTCAATTTCATGTCATTAAATGATAAATCAATTTCCACCTGGAGATATTAAATGGTAATATTATGGAGATTGCATTTGTCCCGAATTAATAAATAACTGAAATATTATAGGCTAAAAGAATCTTCATTTTACTTAATACTTTCACTGAAGACAAACAACGGGTTTGATGCGATAGATAACTTTAATATTCTAGTGTGATCATAGTGAGAAATAGAATCGTTTGGCAATAAAAACTATTTCCAATCAAGTTTTCAGTACAAAACGTATATGAAAACTTTTATACTCTGTTTTTTTTTACTGTCCGGTCTAAATACTTGCACCCTGTGTAACATATCTGCCTACGAATGGCAAGTATTTTTCAAATGAATTATAAATTACATACGGCAATTACAGATGTAAAGTGAAATTCAATATTGATATCATTTTTATATTGTTTTCTAGTGTGGGGCAGAGTGGCGATGACAGCGCCGCACTCGGCGGGTGGCGGAACGTGCGCGTCACGGTTGTCAGAGACATTGCAAAACAATACCATTATACCCATGTAATAACTACCTTTATAGGACGTCTGAAACACTCCGATATTTGTGTATGTCATCTCGTCAAGCGAAACGAGTGCATTTTAGCGTATATTCAGTACCTACCTAAATATTATCTGCTACACTAAGCGTTTTGAATTTAGCGTTAGACGGTTGCTATGCATGTAAAGAACATATTGCAGATTTTTAAATATATATCTTTGTCTTTGTCGTGAGTTCGGATCCCATCTCAGAGTATCAGGAAAAGAGATGGATTGTTTAAATATTTTTCATTAAGAATATTTTCCAGTATAGCATTTTGAATGCAAAATCGATGAAAAAAATATATCTTTTTGTATTTTATCATTAGTAAAACAGCAAGTCTTTAAGAAAGCTAATTTCACATTGGCCGGTCGTTTTATACTTTCACAACACTATGGTCGGTGCAGAATAGCGTTGTTCGTTACATTGGTTGTTTGCACAACAAGCTGTAATGAAGACAACAATATTGACAGACCATTAATTCGACAGGAAATTGTGCTGAAGCTGCGGGTTCGTTCTTGCAGGTGATTGTGAACTTTTCAAATTATCCGCGTGCTCTGTGGCTGTTTCCACTTCAAATAGACCATCACTAGCCAAGCTTTTCACTCTTGGGATACTAAGTTGAATAAACTCGGTAAGCTACAGAACCTACATAACTGCCACCCGCTCTAACACTCGTATCTATAGTCGAGAGAAATGATTAGTTGGGAATATTTCATAACATAAGTACAATTTTTTACCAGATAAACAAAAATTTGAATGAAGTAAGAACAGTTAATAGTTAAAACACTATTATTAGCTATTAACAGTTTTTACTTCATTAAAAAATTCTCGTCTGTTGTTTAAAAATATTTACTTAATTCTCTCGACAATACATACAAGTGTTACTATGTTGTTGCCCCCAGACATTTGTGCATGCAGTTATTTAGTGCATATTAATTATAGTGTAATGGCGGTAGCGCATCTCTAGGTTATTTTATTGAACTTCGTTTATCTAAACAAATCTATATGAACATATTGTTCATTAGCTTTCTGCCAGCGGCCACGCCCGCGCGGTGCCTAGGGAAGTGTTTATTTGGCTATAATTTAAGTATACGGATATAATTACATTTACAAATTTAATAGTAAACAATGGTTGCTATGGTAATGTTTTAATTCCCTATAGAAACTACCACCCCCATTTTCACATCTTTATTTGCTGTTTTTCAGGATAAAATATAACCAATGTCTACCGCATATGATGTAGTTTCTCGTAGGTGAAAGAATTTTTAAAACCGATTTCTCTCTTTTTGAGTTTCTTGCAATTGCGAATTTAAATGTTACTTAATTCTATAAATTGTTATTACATACGCTGTATCTTTGAAAGGTATGCGATTGATTTCGAAAATATCCAATTAGCCCACTGATTGAAATGTTAGAGATATTTGCATCAAGATATGCAATGTGTATAATAATGAGTAAATAAATTCGTTTTTATTTATTGATTGATAATTTGATATCGCTATGATAATGAATGTATCAATTATAAATCAACGAAAAACAGTCTAGGTAAAAACAGTCTAGGTATAAAATATCATAAAAAATAAATTAAATAAATCGAGACAAAATTTTAAAACCACTCTTGTGCCTGTTATAAATGGTGTATAAGTATGTGTTCGAATTTAAAGAGGCTTATTCTAAATGAAGTTCCTTAAACGGCACATTTTTTATAATAATGTTTATCTGGCCATCAATAAAATTTAATAAATTACCGAAGGAAATAAAAAAATCCTTTCAATAAATTTAAGATAGTTCTAATGGTCTGGTACATTATACAGGCATTTTACCCATATATTTCTTTAAATATCCAGCTTGATTAAGTAATTTTAATATGAATATATACCTTATTGAATAAGTGTAAGATCTTCAACAAAAATTTATTATTATAGCAAATAAATGTTTTCATTTTATTTTTCCATAAAATCATAGAAAATTAAAAAAAGTGAGATTATAAATTTAGAAAATTCGTTAATAAATTACATAACTAATATTATCTGTAAAACATTCTTAAAAAAAGTTATTTATAAGAAAATACAGAATCATTAAAAATTACCATATTTCATTATTAATTTATGACAGGAACTAAAACGAATAATGATAAAAACAATTTTCAAAGTACATACCTACAGTATCTGTACCTACAGTTCTAAAGCTTTGCGAATAAATAGTTTATTTGATCTCACGGATTTATTTATATACGAAGATAACGGGATACGTATTATTGTAGGGGAAATGTCAACATTACAGGAGACGGGCGTCGAAAGGACGTATTCTTTTAATTAAGCCACGCGGAAGGCGTCGTAAAAGTTACGATGTCTGTGATTTAACTATTATTTGTCATCAATTTTATTAGGCCTTAAAACACATTATAGTAAGTGCAGACTTTGTTTTTGTGGCTAATAAATCAAGATATTTATTGTAGGTACTATAAGTATGTAATTATTTATAATTAAAGAAAAAAATCTAAATGTAAATTTAACTATAATGGTAACTACATTTTTATTATAGGTTGTAATTTAAATAAAGAATAAGTAACATAGAATTTTCTCTGCCAGATAATTTTTCAGTGTACATATGCCCTAAAAGCGACCTCTCGTGAAGAGTAGACAAACAATTTCACAGGAGTGCTTTGTCCCAACACTAAGACATGTTACAATATTTCACTAGGTGGCATTATATGAAACTAACTAAGTTAGTAACATTACGATAGATGGCGTTGAATTTAAAGATAGACGCCTCGCTAAATAGTCTTCGATTCGATATTTCGACGAGCTTTATTTGTTTTTAACGAGAGAACTTCCTCTTTTAATATGTGCATTAATTCCTTTCCATTTGTGTACTTTTTTCGACCTTTGCTGCTCGATTCTGTATTTATGTGATTATCGCACAGTCGTTTCAGATTTCCAAGGCATAAGTAACTCAAGTTGGAATCACAATGTTGTGTCAGATTATTATTTATTAATCGACTTTATTATTTCATATATTGTAGCTTCTACATACCTCCAAGTCAAGTTGGTGTGCTTCCACTTCTCGCCCTGAACTGCAAACCGCTTGTGTCTTGTACTCTCGTCTGACTCCCGGTCTGGCCGTCCACATCTCTTCTTCAGTAACAGCTGTTTAGTGGCTGCATCTATCTCACCCGTTACTGGTATACCACCGAATTCCTGTAGTTGAAAATTGAAGACATTTAAATTAAACTAATAACTTTAATTAACAATTTTATTATTTATCTATCGTTATTCAGAGTAGGATTCTATTCGTATTGAAAAAATATATTAATATCTTTAGGAAAAAAAAATCTAATTTATCAACATTATGAAAAATACTTACTTGTAATGTTTTTATCGCAATCCTAAATTCATCTTCATAACTTTGCGATATGTCCCCCATCTGCAGGTTGCCCACCTCTGGCTGTCCTTTTTTTAGGTAACCAAAAGTCTGTAAGTAATTTCTCTGAAAAAAAAAAACAGAAAATCATATTAGGCAACTCCTATGGATTTTGCATTTATAATGTTGTGCTTTTGGTATTTTGATAAATGAGTGATACATTAAAATTCATAGTGCATTTATATTTATACTAGCTGTTTTCCCGCGATTTAGCTGGCGTAAATTATATCTATGATGTGCTTGTCGTAGGTGAAAGATTTTTTAAATCAGTGTAGGTACTAGTTTCGGAACCTATTCCATGCAAACTAACAATAAAATATTTTCTCTTTATAATATTAGTATATATAAAGTTGACCAAAATGAAAAAAAAAATGTTGTTTTAATATTTCTATAGGCGTTGAGATGAGAGCGCGGAGCAAAACTTTTTTTTCTGTTACGTGGTCTCGACTCCGACCACGCGGCACGAAGATAATAATTGTAAAGAGGTTCATAAAAAAAAAACAAATAACGTCAAGCGGGCTATTTCAATATGTATTCAAAAAGACCCCGTCAAAACCTAAACAAAGCTGAAACTTTGTTTTGTACAAACAACCTTTTTCAACTTTCAATTTAAATCTGCCTTGAGAATGGTAGAGATGTGTTAATGGGTTCTTTTGTGGTTTCCCTTGTGAAGGGACATTAATATCATTATTGTATGTACGTTTCAACAGTAGTAAGTTGATGTGAGAAATAATTGAAAAGGAATATGATTTGTTTATTCATTATTGTTACTTTAATAAGTAGCTTATTGTTAGTTACATCATAAGCGGGGCGTGAACATTTTGAAATCGTTAGACATTTTAGGAATTGGACATTCTAAACTGAGAGGAATTGAGAACCTCTTCTCTCTTCTCTCTTGAGCTCGTTTTAGAGATTTTGTCACGCGGATTTTATATTGAAAAATTAAGCCCAATTGAGTCAATCGGCTTCGTTTTATGGGAAAGTGTTGTAAGGAATAGGTTTCATAGAAATTTTGACTGTTTTAAAGTAACACGTTTTCAGATTGCATAATTTTCAGCGTAGGTTTAAGTATACATTATTATATTATACAGACGTTAATTAGGTCTAGAATTCCTATAATTATCATTGAATTACGCGTACAGTTGAGTTCGTTTACAACCAAGTATTGATAGGTAACAAACGAAAATGAGTTAAATATAAGATTAAGATTATTATTTAACGTGAAACTATTTCTAGAATCTAATTTATTTGTTACAAACGTAAATACATGATTTGGTTAATTTAAAATGAAGGGCATAAATTTTGAAATATTCGTCTTCGCTATTAAAGGTACTTATTCTGTGGTTTCATGTTACAATTAAGCGTTTTTACTAGTTAATAATAAAGAATCAGGAATACACGTTAATTTGAATGCTAGTTATCTTCCAACACCTGGATTTTTAGGCCAGCATCGCCATATTTCTGCGATCAACAGGTGTAAATCATTGTTGAATGGTGCGGCCCATAAAATGATACAAATAAGCAAACAATTAGGTTAATGTGTACGATAAAATCGAATCCGTGTTAGTGATCGCCGTTTGCATTGAAATATAGTGTCGCAAAAGCGAACGCTGTCGTTTTGAGATCGTAATGGTTACTGCCAGTTATCGGGTGGGTGACCGAAAATTTATTAGCCGCGATTTTTTACACTCCAAAATATTTTTATAAGCCAGCATTTTTTGGTACAATGTAATTAATTGAACTTATACTGTTGTACAATCTAGACTTTTTAGTTTCAATCCTGATTCTGATCTGATCCGATTTCAGTTTTGAAAACTAATAAGATAAAAGAAGAGAGTTTATTAGTATAATTATACCTACAGGGGTACAGTTATATTTCGTCGAATACTACGGAAGAGCTTAAAAAAAAGTTAAATGTAGTACAAAAGAATTGGCATTTATAACTGGTACTTGGTAACTAAATAGAAAATTAGAACTCAAATGATATGATTTTCTATCTACGATGTTCACGTTATTTTCTTTGTAAAACAACCTATATCATGAGCGTATGATGCACCTTCATATAGAAGATAAAAGATTTTAAATCGGTCCAGTACTTTCGGAGCCTATTCTTGCAAACAAACAATCAAATCCTTCCTCAAATCATTTATAATATTGAGATAAACTTATTCAGTTAGTCATTACATTGTAATAAAAAAACACCTTGTCCCCTACTATTCGAATTACAGTGAATTTTTAATATTATTCAAATTTCGCCCTGAAGCCGAGTTGAAAATTAATTAGTTCTGTCCTTTTAATTTATTATTGCAAATATTTGAAGTAGCAGAACATCTTTTTAACGTTTACCGAGTGTTAATTGCAAAATTTTAGCATAAAACGTTACTAAATAAATTCGGTGAAGTTACGGTAATTGTTTAAATTTGTGCAGCGGTAATGTTTCAGAATTAGAATAAATAGGAGTACTTTCTTTTCTTGTTTTGGGCTAACGAAACATTTTTTATTTGAAAAAAAAAAGATAATTCTTTCACTTGTGGAACTATTATATCTAGCAACTTCTACATCCAGTTAAAACCTGCAAGACCTGCGGTGTAAGCTCGCACACAAATTCACATGCAGAAACCGCAACATATCTTGCAACCACCGCTCTTTATGTGTTTTGCCCTCCACGGAGTATCTTCGGAAGTTTTTAGACCTTTCACTGGCAACACCTTTAGGTATAGCTGTAGTTTTTGATAAGTTATACAGATATTCAGATAATTCTTCGCTTTGTTATATACTGACTGTTATTTGGTACATATAGCAGTCAGTATGCTGTGACCTACGGACATTGATAAATTATTTTTATTATTATTAAAAAGACACTTTATTTTGGTAATGACGTGACTGATGTAAATGTCGTTACTTCTGATAAAGAACTGGTAAATTTCTTACGCTTGTTCTCTCTTTATTTCTCTTGTTCCAAAATACGACCTGAACAAGTGTATTTTAAGATGTATAAAATGATTTATGGATATTAAGGAAGATTGACTAACGTATTATATATATATAGTAAGGACTAGCGGTTGGTTCTCTACAGGCATAGACTATGCCTCCATTATCTGGCAAGATATTTCTTTGTAAAGCTTAAGTGAAATTCATTCTGATAAAGTTGCGTGCAGAAGTTAGTCTTATTAGATTCGTTAGCCTAAGTAGATCTAATTACAAATTGATATTTCGCATGTCCCAGTCCTTACTAATCGAAGTAATCCGAGTTCAAACAGCGGATCTGGGAATTGGGAATAAATGAGGTACCCCCAATCGAATGTAGGCCATCCTGAGGTCTCTAAGCGGTAATAAACTTCGCGTGACGTTTCCTATTTCAGTGCTAATTAATTGACAAATCTCAGTCATTAACCTGTGCTACTTACGGATTTGCGTTCGGAACTGAAGTGCACACGACGCCTTTAATATCGCTTTTAGTTTGTCATAATAGTGCCAATTTTGTATACTAAAGTCTCGAAACTATACCACGTAAATCAATTTAGTTGAAAGCTTTTAACTTACCACATGTATACTAGGAATTATAAATGTTTATTCCTATATATGTACTATCATAAACAATTTTAGCGTCGGAGTAAATTTACGCTAAAATTGTATTAGTACGCTCCTATACTACTAGAAGTAAATACTACTAGTGGAGTTTTGTCCGGATCCTCCTTGCAAGAACCTGGATCTCTCCTCTCACTTGAGGGTACATCATATTAACGTCCCCACTGTTAGGACTTAGTGCGGATTCCTGGGTGTTAATGACTGTAGATGCAACCGGGATCAACAGCTTAATATGCCTACCGAAGGAGCTCCAGATAATAAATTTTGCGAAAGCTGTTTAACAAAAGTATCGCAGACCAAGCTCGCTAATCACTGCGCCATCAAACTCCTCGACTACAAATACGACGAACTACTCGCATTTATGCTTCTTAATTTAGTTTGACATGATTAAACATAAACTTATCAAATTTGTGCTTTATTCTATACTTGATTATTTTAAAGTATGAATATATTGGCGTTAACAGGACAGTTCCATTATTATAAAAGTCGTTACACACTACAGTTTATCGAATTAACTTTGGAGGTAAATATCAAAATACAAAATTTTTATCGCCACAAGTTAAACAACAATAACAACTTAAATGTTTTAAACTTTTGTTTAATATTTTGTTTTTGTAGTACATGTTTTCTGTCAATTTCTTTTGAAATGAGAATAGGCTAGTTAACATTTCTTTATTTATTTTATAATTAAATAGTCCATCAATATTTGAGAAATAATATAGAAGTAACAGCATGTCTTCGACTAATAGTTTCGGAGATACCATGTTATATTTATGCTGCTAGTCGGCCGAAAACAATTTGGTAAAGTTGTGGTTAATTTCCTTTATATTTTAATTAGTGAAAAGTTTTGTTACAGTTTGCTTTCGTCACACTTAAATTTTTCTTCTTAAATGTGATTCATAATTACTTCAAAATCGATGCATTCAAACCCCACGAGTTTGTAGAATATACCACGAATATGCATAAACAAAAAAATATAGCGTGTAGGTACTAATTTATTTCACTTAACAGTCATCATTATAATAAATGACAATGGATATTTCACACCACCAAGCGGTCTCCCAATTAATTTTATATCGTTCCCAGCTGCTACTGTAATTGGCGTGTACAATTAGTAAACAAAATTTAAAAAAAAATCCTTTGATTGTAAATTTATGCCCATTGTAACATTTTTTTTTCAGCACAGCTCTGTTTACAAAATATCTTTCTACAAAATTGTCTAATAGATTTAAATCCTTATTTCCAATGCATAAAAAAATATTTAAATCAAATGGAGATATTGCGAAAGCTTCTTGATTTCGCGCATCAGATAACAACAGACAGTTCAAAGATATGACTATGGCGCCAATACCGATGTATTTCTAAATCAAAATAAATAAAACAAAACTAATTTGATATTGGTTTATTTAATGTTA